GATGCTCTGTTTACTATGCTGTGCCATCAACAGTGGGGTTTACCCAAACTGCATTCTTCCCCACATTGTGTTGACACCCTCTTTTCCCAACCCCACACACAAAATAGGGCCTGATACACAAGAGGCCTCAATATCCAGCATTGAAATGAGGAAATGTGAACGCTTTTTAAAGGCAAGACTTGTCCATTCTTTTACCACAGGTTCTAGAGAGACCTCTGCAGACAGTGACTCCATAGGGCCTTGCCAAATGCCACGAAGGGAAGAAAACTCTCAGATGCACGTGCTCTGCAGGGTGAGAGGAAAGTGGGGTAGGAGGAATCTTAGGGAACCCAACTTTTTGGCTTAGTCAGGAAAACTGTGGTTTTCTGAAATTCACCTGTTGCTCTTGCATTCTCAGTTTGGCTTGTGTTGTCCTTCAGATTCATGGATCCTTCCCTCATTTAAAGGACAGCCCAATTGTACCAGAACATGTCACCAGATCTCTCTGAGCCTCAGACAAACATCTGAAAAATGGGTACAATACTAGATTTTATTATCCACTTCCCACAATAGGCACAGGGATCACATTTTTAAAATCTAATTAAAATAAATTGCCAATTTAAAAACATCAAAGAGGTTTGTCAGCACGTTCAGAGGACCTTTGGAGGCTGAAATGGTGACTCTGATAGCCAGGACAATCAGGTTTCCCCTTGAAGGAGAATGAAAGTGAAAGCTTGAAACTCAGAAACTAAGCATGAAAGCCAGCTCCTCACCATGAATTTCTCAAGAGCTATCTTTCTGTAATCTTCTGAGCCCAAGACCATCTCCCGCCATCTCTCAGATCCTTGAAGAAAGCAGTTAGAACCCAGTGGGACAAAAATTTCCAACCATATATCAGCCTTGAGATCCTCTACTGAGGTCATTTAGCAGATATGGAATGAGGAGGGGTGACTCTCAAGAGCTGACAAGAGAAGGAGACAGTGGAAACAAGTACAGAGGACCAGATACACAACACAAATTGCAAGGTGCTGCATCTCTGTGGGTCCTTAAGACCCTGAAAGTCTCGGGAAACATGATCAAAATGGCAACAGGAAGGAAAGCTGAGTCTGACCCTGCGGCTGTGTCTGACCCTGTAACTCATCCTCTGTCATTTGGCCTCTGGAAATGCCTAGGCTCCTAGTTCGTGAAAAGGTGAAGAAACACGAAGATGACGAGGACAGTCTGGGATGGCATAACTTGGGATTACTGCATGTACACACACAGCCTGGCTTCCGTACAAATAGCACCTTCACTACAAATTGCCCGTTCTTAGGGTAAATGAAAGTGCAGGTCAGGTAGAAGAGCCTGGGAAGCAAAGGAAAGTGTGGGCTTTACCTACGAGAAGACCAAGGAAGAGCAAGGACCGAGGAAGAGAACCCAGACTGGCCTGCCTCGTGTCACCTGCCAGACTGTGAATGTGTAAATGTCAGCCCACAAGGATTTTCCATTTTCAATACCATTAACAACTATATGTATAGGATAAAATATAAATTACTCTTAAAGTATGTAAGTAACAAAGCTTCCTTTATTTTATCTTTCTGTTAGAATATAGCTTTGTCCAGCCTGTGACTCCTGGTTCTTCCCACTGCCACCTCATTTCAGATCAGCAGTAATGACCCCACTAAGAAAGAAATCAGGAAGTCAGTTTCATTCACAATAATGTAAAAAAATTAAATACCTAGAAGTTAACCTAACCAAAGAGGTGAAAGATCTCCACAATGAAGAATTTAGAAAATGGAAAGACCTCCCTTTTTCAGGGATTAGAAGGACTGATGTTGTAAAACAAAAGCCACAGTAAGAAAAACATATGGTACTGGCACATGTAAATCAGTGAAAGAAAACATAAGACACAGAAACAAACTCAAGTACCTTCAGCCATCTGATTTTTAACAAAAGTGTCAAAAATATGCTGGAGAAGAGACAGCATCTATTAAATGGTGCTGGAAAAACCGGATGTCCACATGCAGCAGGTTGAAACTAGACTTCAATCCCTTAGCCTATATTAAAATCAAATCAAAGTGGGTACAAGATGAAACGTAAGACTAGAACTATAAAGCATAAATATAAAAGCAGTAATTCTGAAACTCCTAGAAGACCATATAGGGGAAAACCTGAAGCCATAGATAGGCACAGGCAAAGATTTCCTGAATAGGACTCCAAAAATACAGAAATGGAATTACATCAAATTTAAAGGCTTCTGCATGGCAAAGGAAACAACAAAGTTAAGAGAACTCATTGAGTGAGAGAAAATATTTGCTACCTGCTTTTCTGATAAGGGACTAATATCTAGAATACATAAAGAATTCAGAAAATAACCCCCAAAACAAATAACTCCATTCAAAAAATGGGCAAATTAATTGAATAGACCTTCCTAAAAAAAAAAGGACTACAAAGGATAAATGTATGGAAAAACATTCAGCAGTTTTAGCCGCTAGGGAAATGCAAATCAAAACTACCTTGAGATCTCATCTTACCCCAGGCAGAATGGGTAGGATCAAGAATATAAAAAACAATGAATGTTGATGAAATGCGGGATGAAAGGAAACCTCTTACATTGTTGGTGAGATTTCTGAAAGAGTTAAAGGCAGCATACAACAGTGATACTTGCATACATATGTTTAAAGGAGCTCAGTTCTTAATAGCGAATCCTGTGGAAACATCCTGGATGGCCATCAACAGAGAACTGAATAAATACAATGCAGTCTATGTGCATGGTGGTACATCATCTGACTGTAAAGAAGAATAAAATCAAGTTATCTGTAGGAAAAGAAATGAAACTAAAGGCCACATAAACTAAACATGTCTGACTCAAAAAGTTAAATATTGCATATTTTCTCTGGAGGAACAGGTTTAATTATGTAATAATAATAATATACATAATATATACAAAGTAGGCTTACAGTGGCCACCTGTAGAGCCAGGTGGAAGGAGGCAAAAGGACCATGTGTGCGACGAAGACCTGGAGGATCCAATCAAAAGTCAAAGTCCTAGAGCTGACTTCAGAGTGAGTGAGTGCAAGTCTATGTCAGGAAGGCAAAGAGCCTGCGCTGGAAGGCTGAAGAGTCTGTGCTGGCAGCCTAGAGACATAGAGGAGCCTAAAATGACTGGGGAGGTGGGGAGGTTTCACTTCCAGATCAATGGAATCGCTCCTTCTCTGAAATGAAGATTTCTAGGCCATCAGAGCATAAGGTCAAGGGAAGAAGTAAAAGTTTTACTGATGGGTCACTAGGGGTGATGGTGAGTGGTACCATTCCCTTTTCAACCCCTTGATTCCTGAACTCATGAGTCCTGTCTATGGGAGACACAGTATGCATCATGGCTACTGTTGTAAAGCATTCAGCCTTTTGAAGAACCTTGCCCCAGCTCTGCAAGGTATTGCCACCTAGCTGGTGCTGTAACTGCATCTTCAAAAGGCCAGTCCACCTTTCTATCCATCTAACTGCTTCTGTGGTGAGAACAGTGCATCCATGAGCATGAGACCATTTCTGGGAAACAGAAGACATTGCTGGGAAACAGAAGGAAATGTAGCAGTAGGAACCATGGGCATTTGGGCAACTTCTTCATGTAACCTCCTTGTGTCCTCTGGACCTGCTTGAGCTCAATCACACATACACTACTTCCATTTAATGAGGGACTGTGGCTGTGCACATCCAATTGTACAACTTGGTGGATCAGATAATACCCAGCTCATAATGGGGAGATCAGGTTGTATGGTAACCTACTGTTCCATGGCCAAGTGTTCAGTTTCCCTTAGGGTCCAGTACCAGGCCAGGAGCTCCTTTTCAAAGGGATAGTAGGTGTGTGCAGATGATGGCAGAGTCTTGCTCCGAAATCCTGAAGGTCTCTGTTGTGACTCACCTGTGAGGGCTGCCAGAGATCCTAAAGAGCATCCCTGTCGCCATTAACGCCTCCAGAACCATTAGATCTGCTGGATCACATGGCTCCAGCGCCAGAGTGTTCTGCACATATGAGAAACCAAATAAATTAATAAATAAGGACGGGAAACTAGGAGGTGGACTTTTGGAGACCAGGAAGAGGACCAGTGCGAGGTGGCAAGAAAGGGAGAGCGGAGGCAATGGATTGAAAACGATCGAAGTATGCTAAATGCATATACCAATTTCCCCAAATAAACCTCATTACTCTGCATTGTAAATATGCCATAATAAAAGAAAAAATAAGCATTTATTATTTTCCAGTTTCTATACACCAGGAAACTGGCAAGGTTTAGTTCTGTGCCTTTGGCTTAGGGCCTGTCACAAAATTACAGTCAGTATCAGCCAGGGCAGCCATTGCCTCAAATAGGGAAGAACCACTTCAGACTTTATTCTTGTGGCTCCTGGCAAGGCTCAAGTTCTTAACTGTTAGCCAGAGAAATGAGTTCTTCATTGTGTTGGTTGGAAACTTCCTTCAGTTTCTTGTCTTGGATTTTTCTCCATAAGGCATCTTCCCCTCACAGTGAGATAGGAAGGCAGGGGGAGGGAAGGAGCAAGATGGAAGCCATAGCCTTTTTGTAGCCTTATCTCAGAGGTGACATCTCATCATCTCTGCCACATTCTGTAAGCAAGTCGCTAAATTCAGCCTATACCCAACAAGAGGAAACTACACAAGGGTAGCTTCTGTCTATATAATCTCTTTCCCTACATTCTTCCTCCTCTTAACGACTCAAAGCCTGCTAGTTTCTGGGGAACCTCTCTCAGATGCATGGCCCAGACCAAAACAAGGGCATCAGTGCCAGGAGGTGGAGCTCTTCAGCAGTGATCTTTAGGAAACAAGTTTAGGACTCAAATAAGCTTGATATTAAAACTTCAAATAGACATGGGACCTCTACTCCAGACTTGGCAGGTAAGAGTCTGCTGTGTTGAGTATCAATCTTTTCTGAGGCATACGTGAGCACACACACATGCGAGCACACACACACACACACACACACAGAAGCTGTAGTAAGTGCTTCCTCCTTCAGTCTGAGGTGAAAATAGATCAGCATGCCGAGCCCAGAGTCATACCACCGGGCTCCAGGACTTTTCTCCGGTAAGCCACAAGAAAGCCAGCCGAAAACGTTCTCTTCCATTCTGCGGATTCCTGTCCTCTTCCTACTTGTGGGTAAGTCCTTATATGGCCTGCATTCCCTGACTGGAAGATTCCCGCTGGTGAAATCAGGAACACCCCCCACCCTGTGGTAACTACTGTTCGTGTCCCACTTTATTCTGAGCTCTGCACGTGTGTGAGAGCAGCTGTGTGTGCGAGTGCAGGCGCATGTTCAGGCCTTATGTTCTAGTCTCGATCTGAAGTAGCACTGCACTCAAATTCTGTTCTTCTTACTCTCAAATTCTCCTGCTGAGAATGCCGAGTTATGCGTCTGTTCCCTGTAGAATGTGAAGAAATCCAGAGAGATCCTAGGAGATTATCCTGGTGAACAGCCACCTAGCAATTTCCTAGGGAAGGGGTGAACATCTAGAGCTTTCTACTCTCTGTCCTAGTTCTTACAACATCCTGTGCTACTAAGACTTCACTGGGGATCTGGAGGTGGTTGGGGGCCCTGGCAGGATAGCTTCTGTCTAAATAATTTTTTCCTCCGCACATTCTTCCTCCTCTTAATGACCCCAACCCTGCCAGTTTCTGGGGAACATCCCTCAGCTGCATTGCCCAGACCAAAACTGTGGAGCAGAGCTGACCAGTAGCCAACTGAGGCCCTGGAGGCACCTGAAAAACTAGCCGCCTGGTTCTGGGGCAGCTACTTTCCCCTCTGTGATCATGCTTTCTGGGGGTCCTCAGAGAGGACGGTTCCAATAGCACTGGGGATCTATCTGAAAGCAGCTGGGCAGGAGAGAGGGCAGAACTCTAGAAAAACTTCCACATGCAGGTATGAGTGGACTGGGAACCTGGACCACAACCTGAGGTCCAGTCTAACCTCTCTTCACTCTGTTTCATCCTGGATCACCAAAAAACACAAAATTAGCCATTTCTAATGCCAAAACCAATACTTGAGTATTCCTTAGATATGTTGCATGCACCAGAAGTAAACTATATTGAATGCCCTCTGGGTCCCAAATGATCAATGCAGTGATTTCAAACAAATGAGGGCAAAGAGGTATCTCTGATAATTGGGGCAACACTCCATTAGTCTCACTTTTGCGTCTCCAACAAGCTAGTTCTGGAGCTTAGAAACCAATACAGTGAAGATATTGCCACACTTTAGTGTCATTAATACTTAAAATTAAATCTTTTCACTATCATTCACGAGTTTCTATTTCATGGATATAGAAAGCAATTAGTGTTCTATATTAAGGCTCTTTTATAGGTATGAAATGTGTCTACTACATATAGATAATTGGTAGAAGCTATGATTGTTGCCATATCTACTGTCCTGTACTTTCTTTGTGAGCTATAAATAAATGGGCAAGTCAAATTTAGCTCTTGCAATCTTTGAAACTTCTTTTATTACTTGTCAAATGGTGCAGTTCAAGATAAGATAGCTGGAACACTGTCAGTGTGCCAGGAACTAAATAAAATTGTTTACTGCAACATTGTTTGATCTGGGAAACCCACATCCTGCTCCCTCCATGACAGTCTGTGAAACTGGTTTATCTATGAGGTAAGCACACATGAATTCAAAACAGGCCGTAAGTACCCAGCCAAGATCCAGCATCTTCCAGGACATGGAGTGATCAGTATTCCTGGCCTCCACTCTCCAGGGCACAACATACATAGACTTTGAACTCTGCAACTGATTCATTCTCTAATTTCAGGCAAGGTGGCTTAAATTCTTTAAAGCTCATCTGTTTATCTGCAAAAAGGACTAATTATAGGATACTTTTGATGACTGAAGAATTTAAGAAAAGGGCCTAATATGCACCTAGCAGTCAGAGGCTGTGTCTTCCAAATAGGAAGAGCTCTGTTTTAGGCAACTTCAAACCAACCTCACACCAACTCAGCTTCTGCCTTCTAGGTGTTCCCACAGTACGCACTGACCTCCATCCAAGGTCTCTAACCCTACATCTTCCCTCACTGAGAATTCACAAAGTTCAAGTTCTACTCTTGGGCTGTGCACAGACCTATGCCGGTCGGGTTGTCTCCTCTCTGTCTACATATCCTGAAACTTCTGAGTTTTCAGAGCTTGCCTTAGCCTCCTTTTACCCCTCTAGGATATATATATATATATATATATATATATATATATATATATATGCTTCTCCTCTTTCTTCAATATTTTCTATGTGTTTCTCCACCCAGAATTCTTGAAGTAGCCTAGATGCTGAACACATCTGGTTTTTTTCTAGAATTTCCAGTGTACTCCTCAGAGCCTCAGAACCTCTGGAATCTGGGGATCCAGGTTAGAGTCACCTAGAAAACATGTACAGAGTCTGTACATGGAAATGAGTTGTGTTGACCAAATGCTGTGGGCTCCAGAAAGCCTTTACAACAATGTTTACCAAGAATATGGATCTTGCCAGAGATAATGATTACATACTTCATCATCTTATTTTTTAAAAGATGGCCTTATTACTTTACTAGTTCTTTACAATCTACAGTGACATATTTTCATTTAAATTTTACTATATCTCTACAGGAAGATGAGGCAAATCTGAGCATTTCAGTCTTATAATGAGAAAACTAAGTTTCAGAAAAATTTAAAAATTGACCCTAAATCACAAGGCTAATTCTCCTGTTGTAATAGAAATCTGGAGGATCTGTTTTCCTGATTGTCATAGCTACTTTTATGAGAGAAAGGGCTTAGTCAATGAATGGAGTCATGACTCCACTAGGTAATGGGCCTAGAAGATGAAAGGCAGGAATCCAATTTCATTTCTCAGCATCTGGCACATTTTTTGAGTGAATGAATGAATGAATGATTGAACGTTGACTCGAGTCCCGCAGCTCCTCCAAATCCATCTTCTTTCTCTACAGAACTCGGCGCCTCGGGAAAGGACGCAGATCCAACAGTGGTGTCAGGAATCCTAGGGAGTTCTGTGACACTCTCCCTAAACGTCTCAAGAGAGACAGATATTGAGCACGTCTCCAGGACTGGCCACCAAAACGCTCTTGTTTTCGCACTCCCCAAAGAATGTCCAGTCTTCATGGACAAAAGCTACAAGGGCCAACTAGACATCGATGGCTGGAGCTTCTCCTTGCACCTCAGAAACCTTACCCAAAAAGATGCAGGACCTTACAAAGCCCAAATAAACCAACATAATTCTAGTGACACCATTGAGAAGGAATTCATCTTGTATGTCTATGGTGAGTTCCAGGAACCTTGTGTGGGTTGTGAGCTTCTATTTTTAAAAAACATGTTTTATTTTTCTCAAAGAATTTGTCTCTACAGTAAAAATGAATACTAGATTAGTTATTATTACACGCTCCATATTCGAGAAGTTGTTCTACTTCCCACAAAACACTAGGCCATAGTTCAGCGAAGTTCTATGCTGCTTTATAATAGATATCCCAAAAACTTGTTCCTCACTTCACCAGAAATACTGTAGATGTTCATATTTCTACCAACATTCTGTTCATAATATATGTACATCTATGAAACAATACCTTTTCCTACAGCTCTCCTATTTCCTTTTGATCCTCACAGAACTGGTAAAAGCCAACATTTCTACCAAGTCAAGAACACAGCCTCTACCCATTACTCAGTTCCAAAGCCAATTTCCATATTTCCAAGCATTTGATATAGCAGCACTCCACTTCTTGGCATCAAAATCTGTATGTGTTTTCTAGGGCTACCATAAAAAATACTACAGAGTAATCAGCTTAAACAACAGAAATACATTTTCTTATTTTTCTGGAGGCTGGTTAAGGCATCTGTAGATTTTTTTAAATCCTTATTGTTTATTGGCACATTTTAGGCGTACAGTACAGTTACATTCATCATTGGGATCTTGTGCCTTTACAAGATTTATCTTGGTTTTCTTTTTCCCCATTCCCCAGCCCTCCCTTCATTCCCTCCACCTTTCCCTGTTTACAAAGACATTTTTTCTGTGTTTCTCCTTTTCTCGTATTTCTCTTTTGTTTCCCACTAAGTTTACTGGTACGTTTAAAGCAAACAATACAGTTACACTTATCATTGGGATCTTGTACCTTTACATGCTGTTTCTTGATTTTTGTTTCTTCCCCATACCCCTGCCCTCCCTTGATCCCCTTCATTCTTCCCTATTACATATTTTTTCACTTCCCTTTTTACTTTTCCCCCACCCCTCCTACATCCTGTACTCTTTTAGACCTTTTCTTCCTAATACACAATATCAATTATACATATTGATCCTTATTTATACTTTTTGTTTTTCACACAAGTAAATTCAGTATTTACACGTGTGACATTAATTTCACTTAAGCGTATGGCCTCAACTTGGCTATAAATATCTCTAGTTTCTCCTTCTTTAGGGCTGAGGAGTACTCCATTTTTTTTTTAAGTCTTTATCCAGTCTCCATTTGATGGGCATTGGGCTGTTTCCAAATTTTAGCCATTACAAACTGTGCCACTATAAACATGGGTATGCATATATCACTATGGTATGATTCTTTTAATTCTTCTGGGAAGATACTCAGCAGGGGAATAGCTGGGTGAAATAGGACTTCAATCCTAGTTGTTTGAGGTGTCTCCATATTGATTTCCAGAGTGGGTGCACTAGTCTGCACTCCCACCAACAATGGAGAAGGGTTCCTATCTCCGCACAACCTCACCAGTATTAATTATTGGTTGACTTCTTGTTAGTAGTCATTCTTTCCAGGGTGAGATGAAATCTCAGTGTTGTTTTCATCTGCATCTCTCAAATGACCAGTGATGTTGAACGTTTTTTCATGTTTATTTGATGCTTTTACATCTTTGTCTGAGAAATGTCTTTTCATTTCAGATGTCCATTTTTTAATTGGGTCTTTATATTTGGGGGGACCTGATTTTTTATATATTCTAGATAGTAGACCTTTGCCTGAGGAACAGCTGGTAAAATTTTTTACCACGTTGTGGGTTGTCTCTTAGCTCTGCTTATGGTTTATATGGCAGTTCAGAAACTTTTTAAAGAGATGAGATCCCAATTGTTGACTCTGTGCTAGTTCCCATGCTACTGAGGATTTGTTCATAAAGTCTTTTCCTATGCTGATATAACTTCAAGAGTTCTACCTAATGTATCTTCCAGAAAGTTTAGTGTGTCTGTTTTAATATTTATATATTTAATCCACTTGGATTTTAGTTTAGTGTATGGTGAAAGATATGGGTCTAGTTTTAATCTTTGACAAGTTAATATCCAGTTTTTCCAACACCATTTATTAAAGAGGCTATCTTTCATCCAGTGAAGATGGTTGGCTCATTTGTAAAGGATGCGATAGCTGAGTATGTCAGGAGTTGTTTCTGCATCTTTTAATCTATTCCACTGATCCATAAGTCTGTTTCTTTTTCAGTACCATGCTGTTTTTATCACAGTGGCTTTGGAGTATCATTTCAAGTTGGGGATTGTGATATCCCCTTCCATGTCTTTGTTGCCTAGAGTGGCTTTTGCTATTCTAGGTCTCTTCTGGTTCCAATTGAATTTTTGTATTGTTTTCTCTAGGTCAGTGAAACATACTGTTTGGATTTTAATAGGGATTGCATTGAATCTGTACAGCAGTTTGGAAAGTATGGCCATTTTCAGTATATTGGTTCTTCCCACCCAGGAACAAGGTATGTCTTTCCATTTTCTTATATCCTTCTCAACCTCTTTTTTCAGAGTGTTATAGTTCTCAATGTAGAGATCTTTTGTTTCCTTTGTTAGATTAATTCCTAGATATTTCATTTTTGGGGTTGCTATTATGAAAGTGACTGTTTCCCTAATTTCACTGTCAGTGAGTCTGTTATTTGTGCACAAGAAGTCTATTCATTTTTGAGTATCCAGCTACTTTACTGAATCTGTCAATTAAGTCTAGAAGTCTTTTGGGGGAGTTTTTTGGGTCTTCAATGTAGAATATCATATCATCAGCAAATAATGACTTAAGTTTAACTTCTTCCTTTCCTATCTTTATTGCTTTTATTTATTTCTCTTGTCTAATTATTGTGGCTTTGGCCGCCCATCCTCTTGTGCCTCAATATCTCCACATCTCTAGGAACATCTAATTGTTCCTAACCTTTCTTGGGCCCAGAATACAATTCTACAGATAATGAACAAATAGTAATAAAGACAAAATAGAACAGAATTATAGATGAACCCAATGTCCCCAAACTGCAGGCAGAGAGGCCAGCTATTTTCTTCACGGCTGACTTTGCATGCGGTGTGTGCCAAGGACCTCCAGGAGGTTTAACCCCGTGGGGACGATACCTCTGGTCTGGTTTTCGCCAGGTGACCGGCATTGTCACGCAGACTCTACTGGCGTGGTCGTGGCAGTTCCCGCTTTTTTTTTTTTGTTTTTTAGCCGTAGAATAGCGATCTCTGTCTGTAGCTGGGATAGGGTTTGAGAAAAGATTTTAAAAAAGCAAGGGAAAAGAATTAGAATTATGTAAATAATGTAAGAAATTATAATTCTAATTATAGTATAGTGGATCCAGGAAAGGGGATTTAATGTCTTTAGTGACGAAGATCGGGATGAAGTTAAACCTTTCACTGAAGTGATGTCCAGATGTGACTGGCTTAATGAGGTAATTTGTGATTGTAGTGAGAAATTGAGGATTAGGATTTCCAGAGCACAAAAGTTTTTATATTTTTATCATCTGTAGGTTTATCAACTCTTAATTTAGAAGTATAATAACTCATAATAGTATGACACAATATAAGAGTCTATATCTAGATTGTAGTTCTCCTTCTTCAGCCGTGCGTAGACTCACCAGCTTCCGGTGTGGTGAGAGCAGGGCTTTGAGTGTGTTGTCTCTTGGCTTCCTAGAGTCGGATTCCCTGGAATTTTGTTTTATTCTAGAGTGGTGTAGCTGAGTTTCAGCTACCTTGATAGTTGTGGAGTAACTATAAGTGACTCATATGGCCCTTTCTATATAGGTCAGAAAGGGGTCCTTTTCTAAATTTTAACATCACAGGGAGATCTTTTTTATTTTTAATTTATCCTTGAATATTTTTTTTTTAATATTTGCACAATTTTAACCCCTGTGATTTTTATATTGGATAAGTCCAAGAGAAAGTCTCTATAACCTCTGTTATAAATGTTGGCCCATTGTCACTGCCTATGGAGAGAGGCAGATCAAACCTTGGAATTAAAAAAATATTATAGCTATTTTGTCAGATTTCCACATTGTCTCAAATAACTTTATTATATATTGTTTAATTTTAATAAGTGCCCTCTGCTGTGAGAAGCCCACTGTTTTATAGATTGTGTCATAGTTATATCGAGTGGCAACCAGGAATCTGTATAAACATTTACCCTCTTTCCTTTTGTCCATCGGAGAGCCTGTATGAGTGTCCATAGCTCTGCTCATTGAGCTGACCATCTAGTGGGGAGGGGTCCTGCTTGGACCACTTCATCTTGAGTCACCTCTGCATAGCCAGCATAGTGTATTTCATTTTCTATGAAGTTGCTCCCATCCTTGAGCAGGAAGGAATCAACCTCAGGCAGGGGGTCTTTTTTGCAGATCTAGATGACTGGATAACAATTTGTCAGTGATCGTGAGGCAGTTGTGGTCAGGGGGCCAGGTTTGGCTTAGCTGAGACCATGATAATTCACAAAGTTTTTAAGTATCTTTGGTTGCAGTTTTATCTTACAGTCCCCCACAAAATCTGTATCAAAATTTTTAATTATGTATTTGAGAACAGTTGGTTTAGTATTAGCATTTTTCATAACTATTAGATATTTCCTTGTCTTGTGATGCAATGCAAGACAAAGGGTGGGGGGTGCCGGGGTTCTGTTTCAGAAAATGGTCTTGTTTATTTGCCTGGAGGGCTCTTTAAGCATAAGCCCTCCTCCCTTTCTTTTGATGTATAAAGGAGGTTATCTAGTTTTTTTCATTTATTATTTTAACTAATTTTTTTTTATATATATAGTTATTTAAGAAGTTAATATATTTTCTCCCTGGGTCCCCTTTTAAAGATAAACTAGGGAGTAACCCAGGGGATCTCATCATTTAGATAGATGATTTTATTTATTTATTTTTTTTTGTTTTATTATTGATGAGCAGACCTCTGCGTCCTAGAAAGGGAACCCAGGAAATCCTGGGGGCGCGCCTTTTTCCTTTTAAGGAGGTAGACAGTTATTTGTTCCGGTGGGATTTGGATTGATACAGGGAGCGAAGCTTTTCATGAGAGAATTTAATTTTGTAATCATCTTTG